ATCATTTGGACTCAACATCACCCTCTATGAGTTTCATTTGGGTCCCATGCTCAAAAGTCAAGATTCAGCATACTGAAAAATCCTGGATACGTCACTGGTCCCTATCAAACCTTTAAACTTAGATTATGACCGTTTTACTAAATTTCCGATTTATTTTTCTAAACTCTCAGTTTTCTAAATAATTATTAGCAAAACACTAGTCCGGAATAGAAGATCACCGTTGATGGAGGAGAAATGTCAATTTTCATAATAGAAGATCATGACCTTGTAATTCTTAAAAAGATATTTCAAAACTGCAAACTACATTCTACCATAAAACACTTATATATATATTTCCAAGTCTAAAACACGGATTATTTAAGAATTTTTTGTGTACATAATACGATATGATTTTCTTCATTTTCAATATTAAAAAAAAAAGAACCTCATTTGTTTTCTCCTGATAAATTTCAAAAACAATCAATCAAGATAATTCTATATGTTTTTGTTTATCTACCTGAAGCACTAAGCGCTTCTGTTTGAAATACATATTGTAATGGTGGCAAATAAATAACAGCTAACTGGCCAATAATAGAAAGAACAACAGCAACAATAAAAAATCGATTTGAAAAAAGGCCAATTTCAAAAAGAAATTTAGTCTAAAAAAAAAGAAATTTTCAATATTAAAAAAAAAATTTCATTGAATTTTTAATGTTTACTTGAGATCGACAACTAAGTGCATTGAACATATCAAAAAAGACAAAACATGTAAATGTCATGGTTGTATCTCTTGGTGTTACTTTTCCATCACTCATCTTAATTTAATGAACAAAAAAAGAATTTTTTTTCTTTCATTTAAATCAATTTTAACATACTTCAGCATAAAATACACATAAAGTTCCAACAACAATCACAGTAGCACTTGTAACTATATGAGCAATTAAACGTTTATCAATCATTGAATCTGTAACTTTTCTTGGTGGTCTTTTTAATACATCATGATCAACAGGTTCAACACCAAGACTAAAAAATTTTCACTGATAAATATTTTTTTGTTTTTTTTTCTAATTAAATAAAACAAACCTTTGAGCTGGTGGTCCATCCATAATAATATTAATCCAAAGAATTTGCATAGCATTTAATGGATTAGGAAAATGAAAAACAGTTGAAAGTGTTATTAAACTTAATGCAGCAATGCTCCTTAAAAAAAAAAACAAATATTTATCAAAATAATTTTTATTTTCAATTTAATACTTACGTGCTCAATTGAAATCGAACAAAATTTCGTATATTATGAAATATTGCTTTACCTTCTTCTATTGCAGCCCTATAAAAAAAAAACAATTTAGAATTTATTTCAAAATTTAAGACAAATCTTACATAATTGTATAAAAATCATCTTTAACAAGAATCATATCAGCTGCTTCTTTAGATACATCAGTACCTGTTTGTCCCATAGCTATACCAATATCAGCTGCTTTAAGTGCAAC